CATATTTTGCCCTGGTTTTATGGAATTTGTTTGGATTATGATTTAGTTGACATGCTGGTATTTTCTTGTAGTTTCATGTGAATATCATCTGATGTTTGTGGTGTTTTGTCGTGTCAGGACATAGTAAATTATCGTTTTTAATGGTTTTGAAATGAAAACAATACCCCAAATAATTTTCTTGTAGCATTATTTGTAACCAAAGCGATTTCTAATCCAGATCTATTTGATATTCCAGTAAATGGGTTAAGCATTACCAGTTATATTATATAAAAAAGCAACCTTGCAATAACCATTTCAGAGTTTGGTATGTTATCATATATCTCATACACTTGATTCAATTGATCGGAGCTCTAAATCAACAGGGATCTGTTTCGATCTTTGATGAGTTTTGTACTATGGTTTATACGAGGATAACGTATAGAAATAACAATCATTTCGATATTATTCAAATGGATTAATGACGCATACAGTGATGTCATACAAGTAAGTGGTTCTATTGCATATCACCATGTTTGTATCAGGTATCTGATTATTTTTACATCTGACATAGTTAACATGCAGCAGGCAAAGCTGACAGGAAAAATAAGAAAAGATATTCAATTTAAATTCCATCTTCAGCCTGTCTAAGGGTTGACCTAAAATTAGCACTCCAAGAATTAAGAAAAAATGGGGTAGTGCCCGAAATATAGTGTGATATAAGGAAAAGCTAAAGGTTGATTTGACGTCTGCATTGGATTATTTTAGAAAACGAAACCTAAAAGGAAAATGCTAAAAAAACATTGAAAATGACGACGAAAGTATACATTACCTAAAATAACATTGGTAATTGAAACTTATAACCAGTATCAGGACACGTGTTATACCACACGAATATCAGTAATCATACAAAAACATTAGATACAACTGACATAAAAGGTTACTGCTCAAATACCGACATTTGCAATTTTTCGTTTTCTTCAAATAGTAACACGTATTTTCTTCTTTTAATAGACATATAAAAATAGTCCAGTTGATGTGAAGTGTGTAAATAAAGTTTAATGTTTGAAGTTGCCCACAAAAAGTTTACGTAATCAACAAATGTCAGGCCCATCCCAAAAAATTATATGCCTAATTGCAATATGGCATTAACCTTATAGACACTGCTTCGTCTATAAAAAGGGTATGTGATCAGTGGCACAAAAACACTGAAAGTATGCTTTTTTCGTAACCCGCAAACTCTCTACTGATCAGAAAACAAGATATAATTTCAGATCATGGAAATGTTTATATGATTGGGCCTCTCGGGTGTTATATATTTCATGTATTCAGAGAACACATTATTTGAACATTAACGGGATTACTAGTGATGCCATAGGATTTCATTGCATCTGATTTCCGCACAAAGAATTCCTACTGGATGGTGCTATTAAAATTTCAATCTAGCTAATAACAAAACAATGTGTTTTGGATTTTGCAACAAGATTGCTTCGTTCAGTATAAGAATTTCAATAAAACAGTCCTAAAAGAAGAGAATGAAAGCGTCATCGATCTTTCTGAAATACCAATACACACCTGTCACCAAACATAAAAGTAAAGAAGGAAAATAGATAAATGAACATGTATGATAAAATTCCCCTCAACTCGCATCTGGCGAAAGATTTCTACGTTTTGTCAAATAAAACAGAATGTAACTAAAATCAGGGTAACACGTATAAAATCACGTAAAACGTCACTTGAATATGTAGATATTCCTGTTGATGTATAATGAGGTCCTAAAGCACAGCATTGCATTTCATTAAATGGAGACATCCCTCTTGTATACATTTTATATATTTGAAGTTCATAAATACAAACACTAACGATATACTCTAAATGATCAATATGACATCAAATAGATACAGTAATTGAATTGATAATAATCCGAACTTAGATTGTAATGTTATCACTTTATAATTGGTAATGTTGATTACAAGGAATTATAAACATGCTTTTGTCCAAGTCGAAATGAATGGAAATGTTTTCCTCATATAACTACCACAGAGTAAAGATGATTGTAAAGGGGCCATTTTCTCGGGTCAATAAACTGATTGATTCAGGGAAATCAATATTTTGAAAGATATCATAGTAAAAGGTTTTTCAAAGGTATTAATGATGTAATGAGCAAGATTTTTCATCTCGCCTTTCTATTTGCTTCTTAATTAGTGTCACGACTTGATTGATTATGTTGACGTCTGTACAAGTTTAATACACGGATAGCATCGACCTTTGAATGTTCATGCACACGGGACTATTATTCATGATTATGTATGAACCAAAGCTACATGTGTGAGAGAAAAAGAAACAAAACGAATTAAAAATGTCTTCTTATTAACGATCCAGTATAGTTATCATCCCATGGTCGAAGACGATAAAATTGAAAACTTATATCTACGCACACCAAGGAATTGGACTATTACATAGATATCAAATGGAATAACTCCCATCACGTATCGAAGCAAGTCAACAAGTGAACAAATGAGGTCACAGATTTCACTAATGATACCATTGATCAATCGGGACGTCCAATTAACCAATTACCTATGATCGTTGATCAGAGCTGTGACCCCAATTGCCATTAAGGGATTAATGTCGTGTCAATGTAACGGCTAATTTATGAGATGCCATTTGAATACTTCCAGTTTAAGTTAACATGCGACTATAAAAAAAAATATAACGTCATTTTATTCTGTTCGCGATAATGCATTTATACTATCGCGGATGTACCATTGCGTTTATTTTAAGGTAAGTCTATTTCACATAAAACAGGTATTGTATTTCGTGACCTTAGCGAAATTGGAAAGTTATCTAACCAAAACCTACACGATTCAGAAATAGTTCAGAGTTCTGCAAATGTGTTACCTACAGCATATGCGGCTGTGGTTAATGACATACTTTTCGACAGCAACTAACATGTTGGTATTTAAGCAACATATTTGAATGTGTAATAATATCCTTTTTGTTGGATTACACTACGATAAAAAATCAACTAATAGAAAAAACCTTAAAGAGCCTGTACCTGTACATTTCAATTTTACTGTGAAATAGAATACATTTCAAAGTAGTTTATGTTTATGAAACTGACAGGGTGCACTGCTTATACCAATTATAATGTTTGGTAATAACATGATATACATAGAAAATTTTGTGTGAGGGTTTGCATAATCAGTTTTCATACTGTAGGTTATGATCCGATACAGTGATGCATTCACCATTATTGCAATACATTTTAAGAAAATTTGAAATGTAGGAAGTTTCGTAATTTGCCTCTTATCTTTTCTAACTCAGTTATGTGGAACTGAGCAGTACACCTATTAAGGCATTGAATATAATATAAAATGGGATACAATCAAAGGTTTGAATTCACCCATGTAATATTTAGTAGTATACCCTGGAGCGCTTTTCATTGGCTGAAATCGATTGTGTTGTTATATTATGGAAAGTAACCTTACATCATGAATATAAAATTATTGGATAAAATGATTATACTTTTATCTCATGGATGTTTGTTTATGATCTAGATTGTTACGTCTTGACTATTGATTCGTAAAACTGATATTGACATACACAGCCAATACTGACACCAGAAGTGATTTTCTCGACGGACAAATTGACCTCAGCGTCCATGAAGAACTCGCCTGTATTTATATCCTTTCTATCAGTTATCTCCTATCTGACAGCATCAATACTTGGTGTACTGATAATGAATCTGGTTCCATGATAGCTTTTCAGGCTATTGCTATCAAAACCACAAGTTATGTCGAGATTTCCTGACGGTTTAAAAATGTGTACATCAATTTCATTTGTATTGCCTGGCAAAATATATATTTGAACGGTGTTACGTTTATATATATAAATCTTAAATGTAGATTGTAGAATTAGTAATATGACGATTTCATCAATGAACATAGGACATGTCATTGATATGTCAGCGTCATTAATTGGAAATATTAGAAGCTGTATGGAATATCGATTATGGAGCGTCATACATTTGTTAGGAATAGAGAAATAACACGTTCAGACAGAAAATATTTTACTTCCGGATAATGATGATCTCAATGGGAACTATTCTATTTCCTTGAACGATATGATTGGACATAGCTGATGCACATGTGTATGACTGATGGTTTCGTTGTTGTTTACATTGCTCTTGTTTTGGAGCGTGACATTAATTACTTTTATTGACAATGATATACGAGACGGGAGTCTCCTTTTTCCCACCATAAAGATACTAATGGTAGATGTTATAATGACGCACTGAAGATCTCATAGTTACACAGTATGTCAATTTTCCCTGTTTAGTATGCTGTACATTCTCATTAGCAGAATACACATTCGTAAATAGTCACCTGTTTTAATTGACTTAATAATATACGCCACTGTGAACTTTGCGACCTTTTTCATTACCCCGATGTTAAAGCATAGTAATGCCGTCTCAATCAAACAAAATATGACCAAAATGACGAAATGACGCATTTATTTCAATCCCACACTTCTTCCATAAGGTGTGTGTCATTTTATGCTACATTAAGAAGGTTCCCGTCCATTAGATTACTTTGACGTCATAGCTTTATGGTGTTCAACATGTATGTCTTGTGATTTCATCAAAACAATATAACGTGACTGTATACTTATTAAAACAGTGGTGAGTTCCTCCATTTAACATTATATATGTATACATTTATCAAAAACTTAAAACAATAGACGTGCTTTTAACTTAACAACAATATCTATAGTCACGGCATGGAAAGATATTCCATACCTATAGCAGGGGAATGAGTTATGACTTTTAATGGGTGAACTTCGAGCAATCTTGGCGAAACATATTACTTCATAGTTTATATCGCCATGAAATAGTTAGAGAACGTGACCACGTGATCGGTAGTTCTATATTTTTATCTACATAACATTGACAGTGATATGGACAGAAAATTACCAACAAAAATAAGATGATTTTTCCTATGTGATCAACAGAGACTACATACCAACTCGTCCACCAAATCGGAGAGTCTTTGGAGCTGTTCCGTGGAGAGATCAGGGTTGTCCAGGACCATTGGGATATCCATGGCGTCTTCTGTATCCTGTACGATGGGAGGATAAAAACTGTCCATGTCGCTATAACTGTCTGAACCTGATGTGGGGTCGTCACTCCTTAAAAGTAACTTTTTTAAGAAAAGTCCACTGTTTTCTCCACTGTTGGGTAATGCTGATTGGGGCCCTGACCGTTTACCGTTACCTATAAATAGAACATTTGCTACACATAATTACTGTATGATAATAAACAGTATACATATCATGGACATAACTTCGACTATCCAGCCATCGATTCTTGATAATTAATTAGATTACAGAAAAGTAATATAGAAGGATTGATTAGATATTTCATGTTTTACAGCATAACAATTTGTACTTAACACTTAGTGTGATTTTTGACATATCCTATGTAAGCATATCTGATTGGACCAGCTGTGAATAATCTGATATATAATTAACGAAAATCATTGCTTTAGCCATGTTATAAAATGACATGTACTTAATTAAGCAGATAAAACAGAAGAAATACAATCACTTTGGAAGCGCTACAGAACATGTGTACAGCTTTTGATGTTTCAAGTTATGATTAATATAACAGATATTTCTCCCACTACTAACGAAATCGTAGTCATGCATGCTTTTGTCAAATATTCAAAATATGACAATGTATTCTCAGGATTGTGTTCAAGTTAACATGCAAATGTAAAGACAAAGAAACGATAGGTAAGTTAATATTATAGAATAACAATATTTTTGAAATGAAGTTATGAAAAAAATTCCTTTCTCAACAAAAGTCACTATGCGAATCCTAATACTGGATAAACCAGCAAAGAGTGACACAATGTTCGTTAGGGTATCGTTACTGATAACATCAAAAACAATTCAATCCACCAACAAATTGCTAGTGACAACTGGCAAATAATGCATTACCACGTTCAACATGTAATGCATATTCCATTCATCGAAAAACAGGCGTGACATGTGTGTCAAATGTACATGAAATGAGTTGTGAAATCCAAATGAGATGGAACGAACACGTGTAAGTGAACTCAGTACCTTGTCACTTTCAGTCATGTTTTTGAAAATTACTTGTAGAAAAAGCTATTTTTGTGGAAAGCTATTATTTTTTTCTATCGGCGTATGTTTGGAAACTGAGATAATATAAATACCATTGTTTCTGAGAACTCATTTGTGTTACTGTAACAACTGTCATTCTGTGTTACTTAGATTTTGTTTGATCAAGCCCACCATTAAATGAAGTTCACGAGACCTTATGGAAGATATACATAGTTATTCCGGTGTTAATTAGACCTTGTTGGAAATAGTCTCTAATGAAGCTGACCTTTTTACAGATCGGATATGGTGGTTTACTTGTTGGATTATAGTGATAACTTTATCATGTAGTGTCATTTGCTTAAGGCTTTAGATATGTGTAAATGAGACATTGGGGATTATGGTTAATCTCGTTCTTTGCTTGATACTTCAAACCCATGCTTTCACACGCCCTTAAAGATGGCAAGGCTAGTGCAAAGGCCATGGCCTTTAAAAGAATCATATGCTATCAGCCAGAAATAGCCTCTCGTTCATTTCACGGAGATATACATACTATAAGTAGTACTAGGAGGAATAGCGACGACCTCACGATCATATCTCTATCTTTGATTAATGAAGGAGTTTTACTTTCCGATTCAACGTCAACTTTGCAATGTCGTTCCTATAACTTGAGTTACTCTTTAAAACACTAAACCCTTTTACACTTGAGCCCCTACATGAACATATCAAGCAATTTCAAAAGATTTGAATCATAATTGTTTCGTGCGATTTGCTAACATCCTGAAATTCTGTCCGGTCAAAGGTGGATACACGCACCTTATAATATGCAGTCAAGGCCATGTAATGTTGTAATAGCAGATTTAATTGTTCAATTAAGCATTGATAATTCTTTTATCACATTTTCGTTTAGGATATTTGTACATTTTGCCTTTATGATACATGCGCTGTTTGTATGGTCATATCAGAGCCGAAACTTATAAAACCGACGCTCCTGTTCACTTCGTTAAGGACATCGCCAGAGGACAACAATGCCTAGCAGTCCAGAAAAAAGCGAAAAAATTAGTTTACAGCTCATACTATTGATAATATTAGATTTATAGAAATGCCAAATATGTTTTTCCCGAAATGTCTGAGAAAATTATAAAATGAAAAAAAAAAAAAAAAAAAAACCCGATTATGATATGGCTACTTTGATATATCATCTTTCACAGCCTTGGGGCCTCAGTCCTTGGGTTAATATCAGGCTCTCGGACATAAAATAAGTGCGAAATCGACATATTATGTAACGACCTCTAAATATTCAGTAATCCTTGCGATGTTGTATAACGAGGGAGAAAGTAGGGTCGTAATCAGTTCAAGGAATATTGAAGTGCTTAGTTAATAACATATAGGAGTATATTTTTCACAGTGTTAGATTTATAAGTAGTCGAAACATTAAAAAAAAAAAAAAAAAAACGCATTGAAATTTTTGAGATCTCTTTCGACTTTTTTTATATACGGTTGCTCTTTTCTTAGAGGTTTGTGATGACGAGTGTGCACAACGTCAACGTCTTGTTTTGTACACCTGTTATGCAATTACATTTCTTGATATATTGACCTTAGAGGTTATAACGAAAATCGAGCACATGATAGGAAACAGGCGAAATTGAATTTACAGAAAGTGTACATATGCACAAGCCCGTTTATACTAGATGGATCAATTTGACTTTCCTTGATTCGAAAATGCGAAGAATAATGTACCATCTCCAACCCAAAATAGGTCCGAGATAATAGAAAACAGCTAGATGACTGTTTCTTATGTGATTAATCCGACTAGCCGATCTAGAATAGTGTCGGTGGATATGTTAGAACCTACACGTTACCATACCGACACGTGTTCTTATCACGTACATACAATTAATGTCACACCATGTTCAACGCCCAGGTGGACGATTATGGTAACAGCAAATGGAACTCAAAGAATAGATTGACTAAGACAGGAGAGCTAATTCTTCTGTGCACGTCATTTACATATGAAATTTTTACCCTAGAAATTCGAAATGGACATTTCAGTTTTCGCTCATGACTTGATGCAAAATTATCTGTAATTTATCATTTTTGTTTCAATTAATTTCGGTATTCATCTTTCACCGTCTAGGTTTTATAACGTTTTTGCTGTTAGCTGTTGAGTACTTGAAAGACGAAAGAGCTGTATGATAAAGGTAAGTCCATTGTCTGGCAAAGTATGAAGCGTAGCTGTATATTATGTATATTCTTACAAAAGAACAAAAAAGTCTAGGTATTTCATAGCTTAACAATTATAACAGCACAGGTTCCACCCTGACATTTACTGTAGGGAGGATGTTGACCAACAAAATAATGTTCATAATGAAAATATGTAGCACAAACGATTATGTAAGTGATAGCACAATGATCATATACTATCCAGTCCCATCAAAACACTGCTAACCAAATCCTGCGTGAGGCTGCGTTGCCAAGGAAACAGAAAGGATTTATCAATGGTTGGATTGCTGGTTATTTTCATGTTAAAATGTAGTTATACATGAACAAAGGGAGATGTAATTGAAAACGAAAAAATAAATGCGACGACACGAATTCGTGAAGATTTTGTGATATTGTCTTTGTCGGGATTGACTTCACATATTGATCAGGAAAGGGAGTGATAAACAGTGAGAAGTTTTTTTTTGCCAATTCTTTAATAGTATGTCTATGCACGTTTACATGCCAGGAAGATTACATTCTGTTCAAAATAGACATTGAATTGAGTAGAAGATAAAAACTGCATGATGCGGTAATTAATTCCATTTTCTAGCGCGTCACAAGTGGTTCCCACATGTGTCCAATACCCATACATTCAGTATAAGGCCCATGGCCTTGTATGTCTGTGATATGTTATTGACAGATATTGTACTCATGGAAAAAAATGGGACCAGTAATTAGTTAATAAATACTTTAGTTCCATATAAAACGAACTTTGATTTCCGAATGCGAGATATCTATTTTTATATGTAATCATATTAACGCGTTACCATGTCATCCTGTCTAAAAATGTATCATCGGCACATGTACATTACCGGAGAGTTCTAGAAATACTGTAAAGATAAATTCGACTCCAAGTCATGGAAGGTCCCATCTGGGTCAGATTCAATTACGATATATTTCTTAACCTCCGGTGCCTCGCTTTGATTATATTTTCCTCTAAATAATTTACGTGCGTTTTGTTTTATCCGGAGTGTCTCAGAGCTCCTTAATGCATGTCGGTCTCTCTGCCTACAATCGATTGTCCATATAACAAGAAACTACAAGAGATAATTTAACCTTCTGGGCCATGGACACAGTAAAGTAAACAACGCCCAAGAGAAATATTTAAAATTGAAACTAACTCGAACAATCAGTAAAAATTCGCCGAAAACTCTGATTGGAGGTGATGACGCATAGCCTACTGGTTTGTAGTTAAATGACAACAGATCTATGATTAAGTAACAACTGGTCTATGGTGAAGTAAACTGTTCATATTGCTGCTGCTGTCAATCCATTATTAAGAAATAATCAATGCTATACATTTAACGATTTTTTCTGCAAAGGTATTCATTTCACACTAAACAAAAGATTACCTTGACATCTCAAACGTGTCTTTTATGATCTTTTATCTGATAATTCGTGATTTATCAGTCCTATTAAGGTATAATAGTTTTACGGGAAATATTAAGCGTTATTACCTTTAAAATTTTTGTCAAATATCTTTACATTAAATCAAAATGTAATAGATATTAATCTAGCTAATTTACGACTTCTCTCGGTTTAATTATCTCTCAATTCATTTTGATGAGTCACATATCAAGAAAACCATTAGAGATGTATCATAATTAATCCCTAATGGAAGATATTCCGTAGATGCTTGGGAGTTATGGCTCTAAATTCCAACACGTCAGAATTATTTTAACGCCAACAAACACACACACACACTTATAGTATTACTATATTAATTGAACAGAATTATTATTCTGTAGACCGTATAAGGCAGGGATCATTATATATTTAGGTTACTACACAACACCCAACAAACCATCTCACGATCCGGATATATTGTTCAGTCATCCGGAACGTACTTTAACATTTTCTGTTTTTATTTTTACCGTTCTATTTCTGTTCATTGCAATATTAATGCTTCAACCTGGGTTCATTGTGGACATAATGGGTAGTCGATCATACGTGTAGATGTTTGTGTTCTGGTTGTTACCATTAACTATCAGTATAAAACACTCCTTCCGATTTGTACTACTTGGTAATAACATTGTCTTTGACGTAGTGGTATATATTAATCACAATGGCATAGGGTGAGTTTGGAAACACCAACCCCTTCATCCTCTTCACTTCGAGCAGCAAAATGAATTATTTAAACTCATAAAAACTGTCCTCAAATGATCTCTATCTCTACTTTCAAACAAAGGTGTTTGGTTAAGGAGATTTCGCGACCAAATGTCACTGAACTTTAAATGTTTCTTCAGATATTCAATATCACTTCCTTAAAACTTAATAACTATAAAATAACGATAAATGTCTCGTTGATACAGTGTTGAAATAGTCTTTACTTTCTGTTTTTTTATACCAATTATATCGAACACATGTGTACTGAAATGAAGGAATATCAAATAAAAAATGTTACTGTATAGATCATAATCTGAAACGAGACCTATGTTAGGTCAAGGACAGAAGGTCAGTTAAAAGATCATTAACAAGTACCTTGAAGTTCCTTCGGTCAGCATGGATTAAAAAGTATTATTACGAAACAGTCCAATGCACAGTTTGCATGTATATATATCACTTTGTTAAAGATTAAAGGTACTTTGGGCATTGCATGTAACAATTACCTTGGTAACGTATCAATTACACGAACACATCAAATGATTCTAACTGAACACGCCCATGCGATTGAAGCTACGTGTTGGCTTATTAGCTTAGTTTCCGCTGACAAGAACGCATAACTAACCTTTCTACTCTTTTCCTGGAAGAAAGTGACACTGGATGGTGTTGATATAATGCCTTCTGCCAAGGCTTGGTCTCGCGATGGATGTCAAGCATATGGCTATAATTCAAAGGTGTAACTTGAAAATAGCAACGCAGAAAATAAAATCCCTTTGGGAGACAGGTCGGCATCGTTTCATAGATCTTAAGTGCGATCTTTTGTTTGCGGCATGCGCATGCCATTTACAAGTATAGTAATGGGTGTTTTGTGAGTCCATGTTCTTTTTAACTGGTCTTTTACTTTATCGTTTAAAGAAAACTTCAGCCAAACCCTGAAATTGATTGGAATGGGGTCTATTGTACTTATTGAAGATGTTGGTTCTTTCATTAATGAAGTATACGATTATATTGGCAAACCGTAATATCTGAAATTCAATTAAGTAAATGCTCTTACATGTACTTGAGTTAATCTAAATGCGATATCTGAAACACAGTCTCTAGCAAAGCATGAGATACACTTGATATAATCTTATGCTTATCACATAACTTTGATACTTAAGTTTACATTCCTGAGAAATATAGACTGTGTAAAATCTAACTTGGCGATACTTAGGATTCATATAGGGTAATGTCATAACGCATATGACGCCATGCGCACAATAAAGCAACGAAAATGCCCAGTCATTCACAGATCGAGTAGGTTACTTTACACGTGTGCCACATCAGCCCCTATAAGTAGTAGGTATAATTATAGCTGGATATTTTCTTGATCAAATCTATCTTACGACGTCACCTATTTTTAATCCGTAAAGTTACTTGAAAATATGACGAATACATATTTCTTTTTGTTTTGTTTTATTAAAAATAAATGAATAATTTCATTGCCTATACAGTACCATGACTAGTCTTTTTCCAAGCGTGTTTTTTTTTTCAAATGGTCAGACTGATGACTCAGCTTTGGGAATTAATTATATTTCAATTACGCTTCAATTACGGACATATTGAAAGATATATACATGAACGAGTCAATATACGATACGTTAATGAATAAGGAAGGGTTTGCATTACTTTGAATTCCAAGGAGCGTTCAGAATCGTATTCAGCTTATGGGCAGAGTTTCATGTGTACATTAAACAGAACCTTATTGATTGCGCATCTCGATACTGAAAACTTCCAAGCATCAACTATATTCAATAATATTATGATGTACCGAATATTGTGCGTCACTCAATTCAAGTCATAGTTTCAAAAGGTTATGTTGACGGAATAGCAAGACTTACTTTTGATCGACACTAGAAAAACATTAACTAGACATGTTATGAAGAGTGAAACACGTTGTGATGAATATGGCCGAGCATCTGAAATGACTAGCTAGTATACGTATCATTAGTCGAAGGTGATAAGCGGAACTCTTTTGTTTTTCACATCTACTAACATTTAATTTTTACTTTGATACATCTATAATAAATGACAAAAGAAAACCGACTCTAACATAAACTTGTATTATTAAATCTTGATATGACTCAAACCATCTCTCTGACATTTTGGGCATTTTTCATGTTTTCAAAACAAGGAAGTTACAATAAAAAATAAGAAACGTAATGTTGTATCTTAATGTATATCTGTCCGCTTTGTCTCTCTTAAATATCAGATTTTATAGATTTGTGTAGTTCTGATTTTCTAACTTAGAAATACACGACACTCATGCCCTTTTTGTACCTCCTTGATAGTCACTCGTAACATTGCAATGACGTGCTATTGGTCAGCGGATTACTGTCTGACGTCCTGTCACTCAAATTTGATGTTGCTAGATTCTCGTTTTAAAAAGGAAGCCGGCTTTGACGGCTTCAATTACTTTATTGGTAGAAGTAGTTTTAGACACGCGCTCGGGGCTAATAAAACAAATGCGTATTGTAACAGAGGTTTCAGTATCCAAATATGGAGTTCTCAGAATAAAGCCATGGCTTCAGTGTTGACTTGTCACATTTCGTCTTGATTTGTCTATGGAAACATTGCATATCATCTGGGTCATAAGCGATATATTAATGTCGCCACGTTAAAGTATACATGTGTTGCTGTACCATTAAAAAAGGCCATTTTGAGTCAGAATAAATTAAGGCCCGCGGTGAATTATTTTTGGGCATTAAAATGTTGCTTTAACAATTTACAAGTTTGTAATTTTCTTTTCGAACGTTTTTTTGTGGTTGATAATTATCATAGCGGTTTCAAACCTCGATGCCATGACGTGTTCATTGCAACTAAGTCAGATACTACTTCTTCGCTTTCGAATTCGATACATTAAAAAAATAGTACTGGTGGTCATATGGCAACTGATTATACAAACAAGAGCACATGAACTACATTGTATGTGATCATTCTAAAATGGCGTCATATACAATATACGAATTTAATCGTTAAATACAAGGCTGTGTTTAACAAATGGGTCTGAAGTTCACATTCAGAATCTAACGCCTACAACATGTAAGAATTACACAAAAGACATACATGTAAAACACACCATTGTGTCTTACTCTACAAAAAGAGCTATTCATTTGTGTTTGTTTGTACAATCTTCGAAGTCGCAGGCACTTCTAGTGGACTTTTTGTCCCAGAGGATTGCCGCCACCCGCATGTCACATCTAGATGCTCTCAAATAGGGTTGCACAGTTCAGAATATACACATGTACATGCTTTCTTTTGAAATTATCAGATCATGAAAATACCGAAATTTATTGAAATTAAGGGCAATTGCACTTTCCCATCTAGATTTCGACATTCTTTCGATCAGTTTGGAAATTCCTCAGTCGTCACCTAAGTTTCATTATCTAGGCCCGTAGCATCACCGACGAATCTTACAAGGACGAAATAGCTGTAAGTTGCAGTTTAATTTAATGTTTGACTTCACTGGGTCTAACCCTAACTTTTTATCAAGAGGTGTTATTCCAATGTGCGTCGTTTGTACTATCTTTTCAATGTCAGTTTAGTATCAGATACACATGACGCCAAAATAATGTTTGTGCTGGGAAATGTTCCAGCACAAGAACAGCGTTAAAATTTAACATCAAGTAAACAATTCATCTTAACGACAACCTTGTACCACCGTTGTGATGTAAAGGGTAAAACATGGTGAGTTACAGAGTCAAGATGAATGCGAAAGTGGAGGTGTTTTATTGCCATTCTCAGATCGATCCTCAAAGAAATAGCAAACTCCCTTTGGTGCAATGCTTTCTTTTCAACTTGTTTGTGATAGCTTAATAAAATTCAAATGTAATACGAATTTCTGTGAATTTATGTATTGCGTTTTATTATACATGAATGATAATAAATGTAATCTAAAACTTTGTCACTTACCTCCTAAACATGCGTGAATTGACCATCTCCCTCGGCATTTGCCTGTTAAAAAACAAAACAGATAATATTACGACATGTGCAAGAGGGGTTAACCAAGATGGACCGGTGGTGACAATGAAACATCTTCATCATATCTAAAAGATTTTAACAGAAAGAAATAATGCCGTAACACGTCAATGTTTAAATGGCAAGACACATCTCAAGAACTCTAACATGTACAATATATTGGCTTTGATTATGGAGGTTATTATCAAAGCAAACTTCTGTCGTTTATTTAATTTAATCACTGAGTTTAATCAATGATAATACATCTAAGACGAAGGTCTGATATCAAATGTTGGAGGGCATGATACCACTAGACAAAGAAACTGAGCTTTGTGTTCTTTAATATGTTAGATTTATTTCGTTAAAAAGATAATTGATCAAATCAAAGTTGATTCAAAGTTGTTGAAAGAACTGATAACGAAAAGTGGTTATCACAAACATTTATTCTGTAGACCTGCAAAAGAAGCCTTAATTTCAATTTGTTAAAAGAAATAAAAATATCGAGATGTAAAAGACTTGTTTGATTTGATAATAATGTGGTTTGGATAGAAATGTCATATGAACTCTGTGAGAACCCCAGGCACATTTCATTCAATCTCAGTCCGTGGTTGTAGTCTGATCAACAAAATACCATGTATACCGAAAGCTTATCTCGTGAATACAATTTTTCATTCATTCTCAATCAAAAATAGACAAACATCGCCGTGGATGCAATCTCTGGCAACCGGGGAAATCATTGATCAGAGTCGCATACTCGTTTGCATCACTGCTATAACTGAGATGCATCTGGAACATACTAGCGATCTGGATCAGATAGATGTAAATGACTGCTTGCTGTAGAGAGGAGATCGAAAATAGACATACGTAAGAAGAAAAAACAAATGAAGATAGCACATAATGATACCTATAATTAGTATAGAAAGTCGCCAGATTGTGATGACGATAATGTAGATTAAAACAAGTCAATGCAAACAAATACAGTGGTCATCGTGATGTAGGAGGACTTCCAGAATAAGCATTGTGAATAACTCGATTTTCTTTTGATATTTCAATGTTGTAGACTTTACAGAGAAAAGATCTTTACAGATTATTGTTATTTGTCAATTTGATTCAGCACAATTTTGTGAGTTTATTCACACAAATACCAACAAGCTTCGAATGACCAATCGTTCCATTTTTGTGTAACCATCAGCTGTTTGGTTTTGGTAGGCAAGATGAGGAAATCTTACAACAGTTAGAACGATCGTCATTGAATTAAACACACAATGACTTTTTCCTTGTTTATGTATATGTAACTAGATGACTGTGAGTTATGTAATTAATACACCCATGTAATAATACTTTTGGAAATGAATACACGTTATAAAGTGATTCTGATGAGACCGAATTGATTCCTCCACCTGTATTGAGATGCAACTAATGCAGCATAGATAGAATATTGTCCCTCACTGACTGCACATCTCTACATCGCATGAACTTGGCGATAATGGATAGGGTGAACCTCAGATGTTATTGGTAACCTCAAGTGAGACATACACCATTGTAATATAGAGGAAGTAGACAAGACGACAAGATAGGCCGCAGGGGAACCGTATTATCTACCATTAGTATCATAAATGAGTATTCTTAGAGAGGAAATGTCCCTTTATACATATACTAGTGTTCAGCACGATTCTAAACAATAATTTGCGTTCCAGATATATCGCTCCAAGGCCCTATAGCTCTTTCTTCCTTGTGAAAGACTCCTTGGAAGCCACTCTGTTTTGTATAGATATGTTAGTCTGCCAAGTTCTGAAAAAAATCCCGAATGTTTTTAGTTCGGATCAAGATAGACATTACTCACAATATGTATATGTGTTTTAAAGTCTACTTTCATTGAAAATAATTCACCATGAAATGTTCAAAGAGATGTTAGAATTTCACAATCAAATTCGATAGACGAAATATTAACATACACAGTCAGCCAAGGTGTCCCTTCCTGGATACTGCTAAACCAAGCGACCCGATGTAATACTTTATAAGGCAAGTGTTCAAATTGGAATTGATTTTAAACAGACATATTATAATAGTTCGTAGACGTCTCTATATTCTATCTCACATTTTGAAGATGGAACTTCAAACGAGGCATGGAGTGTGATCGAAATGTTTCATGATGGAAAACCACTGTCATGTTATAGCACAAACACATTAAGAAGGCTTATACATTTTTTGTTTTCGATGTGTCCAGAACTTCCTTGCTTCATAGTATAAAGTAGTCCGGATTTTTTTACTGAAGACAGTAGCATTCATGACCAGACAAAAACGAAGACGAATTCGTTTTAATGTTTGTATTGTGTCTATTTTTATATAAGGAAAACGGACGTTGATTTGTCTTTACCTTTTATACTAAAATTGTATTTCCTGTAGAAAAGGAGAGATGGAAGTTAATGTTTGACGTTGACAGACATTCGTCTATTGCCAGTGGGTGGTTATATACGTCCGGCGAGTCGACGCTGTGTCGCAATGTACTATATATTTCCCCGTGGTTGTTTTCTATGGTGGTAAATGGCCAACGCTCATTATTAGACTTGTCATAAATGAGTGCCCAATATAATGACACAGTCAGGAATGATATAAATTTCTACTTTCATGACTGTCTGATAAGCGTTTTCTTAAAAGCCTATGACATTGAATACAAATTATTATCAAAGTAATTACACACATCGCATATTGCTTACGAAGCGTTTCAAAAGAAATTTGTAGTGGCGATAAACGTGTCTGTTAAATAGAATCATGTGGATGCACAATATTCACATGGAACTTTAGTTATTTCTCTGTCTGGTAACAATACTATTGCGACATGTATTATAACCTTGCACCTGGTCTTTTTTGGTTAAAAATTAGCAACGGAACGGGAATTCTATCAGAATATTACTTGTAAATAGTTACTAAGCTGTCATGACGATCTGTTACTCATAGTTATGCTTTATTGATTATGTGATATATAAATATTCAGAACAAAATGGTTAGGGAACTTTAACACCCTAACACGCACGACAGAAATTGTGAAAATGAAAGCACACATTTATATTTTCTTACCTCATTGTCATTTATTAAAAAATAAATTATCAAAGATATTTTTAATGTTAGTTTTACTGTTGAAATTCGATGCTATTTGCTCCTACTTGTGAATCTGGAAATAACGTTAACAATTAAATTTCAAGTTACTCTACATGAAAACAATGTAGAGTCAATATTGTCAAAAAAATATATCATACAATAAATTTCTTCAACGTAAATATGTTAGCTATTCCGTTTGATCAAAAGATTTTATAGAAACAACAATTAAGCCTACTGAGTTGCTTTTTATTCGCCGTTACATTTAAGGAATGTAATTGACAACATGTTACAGTCATTGTTGTGGTCAGTTATAAGTTGTTTGTAATGATGTTTTAGGTACTGTTTGAGAGCGAATTACTTAGACGCCCAAGTGATAGCTTAGAGGCCCTTTTATACACACAGTGTATACAAGTAGTTACTGGTAGTTGGTATCATATCGACAAACCCGGATAGCATTACATTGTTTTGCTGGTTCGTTCAATGCTGACATGTTTTTTCCGTCAGATTTATACCGATCTATAGAGCTGAATCATCGTGTTTATAATGCCACTTAAAATGTTTGTTTATGTCTTTTTCTCGTCTAACATTGTATTTATCGGAGATCGATGATTGTTGTTGTCTCATTTGATTTGTATTTCAAATTGATCTGTTTGTAAATATTTGATGGACAAACATTCATGGAATTCCCTTGTGTTCTGCACACCCATTGTGTATATCACGAATCGTTGTTGGAGGTAAAAATCTGTTATTAATGTTGGCATCATGTAATCTTCATTTGCTTAACATCGAACATATACATTTCTAAAGCGTATGGGGACATCTTTAGGCCCTGTTCCCATTATCACGATTTTTCGTGCAAGAAATCATCAACTGATGGATAAACTCGTAACACAGGGTTTCAAATGATATAGATTCATGAAATGGTCTCCTTAAGAAATATTATCCTTCTTTGTGCGACATGAAGTTGGACGAGTTTGATGCTCGTTAGTTTGTCTGTTGTTGTATACCTTGTTCTTATTTGAGAATGTGACATTACTTACTTGGATTGACCAAGTTTTACAAGGCGGGTGTCGTCGATAAAGCAGAAGACGCTTACTCTTCGGGAACACTTGGTCTTATTCTCCTTGTTCATTTTCAGTAATCTGCGTGTAAATCTTTCTTTTGTTTATATTTTGCCTTAATGATATATTACACTTTGAGCATGGATCATGATTATATTGAATTTTTGGCGTCTTTTTTTTGCAGTAAAGATATCAGCTTTATTGTAACAAGATGAAATTGTTAGGTCAGAGTTTCATTGGTTTGCTGTTTGTCTTCCCTTATTTTTTCTCTTAAATGCATTTTCCCCTATACGGTATTTCATTATTCACATCGGAAGCTGCTTATGATAAATGTGATAATAGCATATACCAGGCCTAGTGCAATAAAATATAATCTACGTGATAACAGTGAAGTATAACGATTTTACAATCAGGATTATCTAATATTATTGCTTTGTGGCATAAATCAACTAGTCACCACAAAATTAATATTATCATTATTATAAAATAGATGGCATTAAAGTAATGGATTTTTACTAATGACGCTAGCTGGTGTCAGTGTTCGATTATCGTTCTAATCTTACATAGGACGATAACAGAATAGAGAACAACTCATTTACATGTATGCATATGTTAGAGTTATCCATTATATACATCGTAGCCTTTAAGACTTATCAATAAATCAATAGTTATCCTAAAATTACATTTCCCTAATATATATATATTTTCTTCATTTGAACAATATCATGTGCTGTACGGACTGTGTGCAGCCATCAGAAATGAACAGTTTACAGTCTCCAAAGAATGTCACTATTTAAACACCCGATTATGATCTGCACCGGGTGACATGCCTCAAGTACTGTTTTCTAGTAATGTGTTATGATAACATATGTACTACCATGTGATTACGCTGGTTATATAGTTGATTCGGCATTAAAATCAACACTAACTGATGAGGCTTTCGGCAAATATTGATTTCATGGGTGTCATAGATTCGAAGTAACGAACGAGAATTCCATGTCTTGTGATGTTGCATTAACCCCGTTATATGATGTTACATTAACTTCGTTATAAGATGTTGCATTAACCCCGTTATACGATGTTGCAATAACCCCGTTATATGATGTTGCATTAACCCCGTTATATGATGTTACATGAACCCCGTTATATGATGTTACATGAACCCCGTTATATGCTGTTAAATTAACCCCGTTATATGATGTTACATTAACCTCGTTATATGATGTTACATGAACCCTTTTAATTGATGTTACATTAACCCCGTTATATGATGTTAAATTAACCCCGTTATATGATGTTACATGAACCCCGTTATATGCTGTTAAATTAACCCCGTTATATGATGTTACATTAACCTCGTTATAAGATGTTGCATTAACCCCGTTATATGATGTTGCAATAACCTTGTTATATGATGTTACATTAACCCCGTTATATGATGTTGCAATAACCTTTTTATATGATGTTGCATTAACCCCGTTATATGATGTTACATTAACCCCGTTATATGATGTTACAATAACCATGTTATATGATGTTACATTAACCCCGTTATATGATGTTAAATTAACCCCGTTATATGCTGTTGCATTAACCCCGTTATATGATGTTAAATTAACCCCGTTATATGATGTTACATTAACCTCGTTATAAGTTGTGCATTAACCCCGTTATATCATGTTACATTAACTCTGTTATATGATGTTACATTAACCCCGTTATATGATGTTATATTAACCCCGTTTTATGATTTTGGTAGGGGAAACTCGTATTGACACTATAAACAATACACATTTCAGTTTCATTCGCATCGGCTATTTTTGAGAGATGCTAAGAAAACGAAATCCAAACACCTTACAAGTCTACCTTGTTTTAACTTTCAATGACATGTTAACGTTCACCTTAACTACACTTATCAACTCATTACAGAAACTATTGATGATTAGTGACAAAACTGTTTTATAGGAATTGAACTAGAATGAACTTTTAACGTTTGAATAAAACATTTGTAGATGGACGAATGTATATGCATTATGATATGGTTGAATGGGGACTCAGTACAATACAATTAAGTACACCGCACATTAATTGACAATACATAAATACTGTATCGCCACTAAACGTACAGTACAAGCTAAAGTACCGCTACATGTGGAAACCATTCATACACTATTGGTATATGCTTAACTGACTATATATTAAATAGATATTGTGAATCTTGCTTAGCTTAAAACAGTAAACTTTACAATCAAGGAGAATAATAATACAGATATTCCCTGGCTATTCACACAAAGACAATGACTTTTCAATCTTCAAATTGAATACATATTAACATATATATACGAAGAATATATAGTATACAGGAGTTGATTTAACGTATGGTGATACGATAATTAAAGGTAATTCTCTGAAACAGAATGGTGCTGCAGTGTTATTGGTGCTGCAGTGGTATATTGTGATATTGTATATTAATTATGTTATCTAGCTACATTTACAATAAGTTTACATTATACTCTAATTTGGCTGAAACATCAAACATTGCATAGATATGAACGACGCGTATTAAAGTTCCATATGGCTGTTTATATATTCAGTAGCATGCAGTAACCTAGATCTAGTGATCAGCATCGTGCCATTGTAGTGTTTCAGCAAATTAGGAGGTGGAGTACAATGGTTACATGGTTGTTATCAAAACGGGATTAAGAGGATTTTTTAAACTGCGGAAATGGAGTTCAGGGTTGATAATCAGAACTAACGTATTGGGGTATTTACATATATTCAGATAAGCCAAATCATCCTAATTTGTAGATAACACTCGAATGGCGAGATGATAGCCAAACTATGAATAAGTATGTTCGTTGGTTTTACACTGTTTTCATAAAAACAAGCTTTGATACTGATTGCAGTACAACAGAATGAGTATTCTTTCAGTGAAGTGGCACAACATACATGTCATATACGTTTCAGACAGGAATACTTGATATTCCATGAACATCTTGCCGATGTAAAGATATATTTTATGTGCACGTTTATATGATTGGATAAATATATACTAGACTCTGCTAAACATACATATCTATCTATATCTACATTTCTAAACATTAGTGCTAGCTGATGCATACCTCTCCAGCCTGTAAAATGAAATGAATAATTAAATAGTAAATTAGGTTTGTTCATGTAACATCTAATTTACAAACTTAAGATATAAATAATGCATAAAAAATCGAATTTATGAAACTTTTGTTTCCGTAATAATGTGGTTTAAGATGCGGCACGTTCTCACAATGAAACATCTTACAACAAGCATAAAAATTAAATGATAATACACGAGGTTGCCTAAACCGAGAGATAGGAATTCATTGGTACCTGATAATAACTAATACCAAAGATGTCATCCGACAATGCTTTGCATCAGTATATTTTTCGTATTACAAAACTGTAGCTGAACATCAAATGACAACGCCTGCACCTTAATTTGATTCGCATAACTAATATAAAGATAATACTGATCCCGTAAGATGTACGGAAGTTAAAATGGATACTGGGACGCAATATTTTATATCAGACCAGAGGGAACTTTAAATGATCAAAGCTTGATGATTCGTATAGCTTTCAACAGAAAAAATAGACCATTGATAAATTATCGATTTCTTTTGAGCTAATTTTAAGATAAAACTTGTGTTCACACATATTCTGATATTGTACTTCTGACATATGACATTCCTGCGTACCTGAGTGAAAGTCTTAAATGGCATTTACCTTAATCCATATAGATTCCTGATAAAACACACAGAAATCAATTCCACTCAACAGCAAATACCGTACTCTTTATCCGGAAGCGACGAGAATCATTTACATGAAATCAACCATTTAAGAAATAAAGATCATATGAAGGTCTACTCCACTGGCAATGGAATTTCCTTAATGGTTAGAACGTATGTTTATCCATCTAATTAATATGCTCATATTCTAAGCTTTCAAAGTCGACTTATTATCACGTATACTGTATTTAACCGCCTTTATGCTTTCCTACAAACACACCAGTATATGTCTATAGCGTTATGATAGCAACTTCTGTAGCGGATTCCAGATACAAGTAAAGAGAGAACATTAATTTCATATTCCTGCACTGGTTATCGTAATGTTTATACTTAAACATATATCATAACCATGAAATTGAAATTGTCGTAACCAATCATTTCTTTCACATATGATTTAAATGAAAAACGTGGCAAGCTTATTTTGAAGATAACTATAAAATGCCTATAAGAGACAATCTCTTGCAGCTTCGGTGGTACTTGCACTGTTGTTGCTCATTTGTGAGCAAATTTTGGAACGACATCTGGTTATAACACAAAAAATCACAAGTCGACGAAACAATTTTGAGTAGGACAATCAAAGCATTACCGGAATCAATGGAAATGATTCCCCAAAGGAGCGCACTTTTTTGCCGTTTAATTTGTTTTATAATAGAGTTTTCCTATTTGAATATAACGAATTTTCTTTTCTATCGAAGATTTACAGGTTTGGTTGACAGTTTAATATGATATGTACTCTAATAGAATAAAGCATCGCCGATAAAATTATGAGAGAGGTTCGAACTAGTTTACTAGTAAAATGCCATGCTGTCGATAACGGACCTTTGAACAGCTTTTCGCTGCTATTTTGACGATCCAACAACTTCATTCTATTATGGATACACATCTTTTCCCATCTTTTCATATTCATATTTAAAAAAAACCATCATTTTGAAACGATTTCAATGCGCCATACTTACTAGAATATATCGATATCACTATTGTTACCTATGTCATTCCGGGATTCGAATTTCTATATAAACGTGTCTGTACATCATTAAACCTCAATCAGGTTATCATCGTTTAGAAGATGAATATCACTCGACAAATACAGAATTGTGAAAAATAGTAAGGACAACCTAAAACATCGCTTACTAAAGTTTATGGAAAGTTTAAACTGAACTTAATGTTTCAGACATCGTGTGAATATTATTTAGTATCCTATCGTCCATACGTATTCTTTGTAGTTCTGTCATACAACGGTAATGGTGTGGATTTGTTGTATAATGTCTGAATAAACGAAATATTGATGCAGAAGTTTATTCATTTCAAGTACTTTTAATATGAAATATGATTTTCTCCTTTTTCTAAAAAGAACATAGCAAATGGTGAACGTTATGACTTGGCATCTAAACATTTTAACTTTCCTCGGTAATTACCGAGCTTTAGGTTATTTAAGTACAGTACATTTTAGGGATATGGTAGTTATGATAACATGATGTCTTCATAAATTTGATCAATTGATCTGTTACTTTTCTGTACATCATACACTAATTTTGCTTGTCTTAAAGAATGTTTGTCTTGATAAACATGATATGATATTCGACACATAGCAAATCTTTAAGATATAGTATCACAATATCATCATAAAGAAACGTGTTACGGATATGCTCGATGACAGGATCATCTGTATTATATTACAATTTCAAAAACAAGGACTTTTTACAAAGAGTTCAGAAACTACAACACAAAGTAAAAGTTCTGAGAAAATTAATATAACGTTTTAACACTTACCTGCTGATACAGATGAAAAATTAACGGATAGATATACACAACATGTCGCAGCAAATAACCAGATACACCTGTGATTCATCTTTAGTTGTGAGGTCCAAAGTAACGGCCAACAGGTGTGTGAGAACTCCAACAAAGCTAACTGTCAACTTAGCGTTTAAATATCTACTGTTTAGAAGATCTTCTATAGGTGTGCTATCTAAGAACGAGTCTTGTATTGCCAAACGTTATTCTTTCCTCTTTGATGTGAAACTTTTTAAATCACCGATATTTGTATTGAGTGTTTCTGGTTAACGACTACAATCGCGTGTCGGTTAAGAATGTGTAGTTTTAGTGTTTACCGCCCCCGTGAACGGCATACATTGACACTACCTAGCCCAGTATAGGGATGGTCAGGAATCATGGATCGGTTTATCAGACTGAGCAATGAGACAAGGTATTGGATATTGGTTGGCTAGGGGGGAGGCCTCACTGTATAAACACGCACGGTTTCACTATTATTGATTGCTAATAGATGTATAGTAATCCACTACGACTATTACGTCAACTCACAATACAGCATTTTCGCCCCTTCATGTGATTTTTTTATGTTCAAAACAAGAGAAAATAGAATAATAATTAGCAGGCCAAAAAGTGCATTTCGTCACTAGTGAAAGGTGTTATTCGGTAGTATTTGTTCTTCGTCATCGTGATCATGTCATTGAACATTTGTGAAACTCTTAAACATAGTCAGTTTTCTGAAATAAATGACTCATTGGTACTTGTCTTATTTCATTCAATGAACGTTCAGATTAAACTTTAATATCGTGTCTTGACCACAATGTTGAAATATGAATACTTTCCGAAAATATATACATGTAAATACACATTATGGCACTTAGTGGAATGATTTGATTTGCTGATTCAAATTTGACTCACTATCAAGTACTATAATGGTAAGGATATATGTTATCTGCTTTGAAGGGTCATTGATACGTCTAATTGTCATGGTATGATATGCTTATATCAATACACAAGCGTACATTTCATCTATTGTATATGCGCCCATGATGTGCCACACTAACACCTAAGTGAGTTATGAGTTATTCATACTTTAAAGGATATAGAAGTATAGACTGAAATTCCTAGTATGGCTTTGAACCCATGTTTAATGCAGGGTACTAAGTAACCAAGCGTCTTTATTAAGATAACTTGCTTCTGATTAACGATGAAATATGTGAACCTACCTGCCTTGTTTATTTTGGATTTTGAGCTTTCGCCAGAATCCTTATGTGCATCCTTGGCAGTGTCGTGGGGCTGCGGGTTACCATATGTTCTTTATGGATACCAAATTTTGCAAATTACGAACTAACGAATTATGTAAGCAAATCCCTCTGAGTGTTGTGATGTTCATGGTATTGGAATACCAAGTCGTCGATGATAGTGGACGCTTAACCTTCCGGAATCCTTGATCTTATTATCCTTGGTCTCTCTCAGGGATTCCTGGTATTAATTAATTTATCGTTCATATTTAGCCCAGCATTTGACTTTGAAGTAACATCCTGCTGACATTTCGGTAATTTTAGAGATGTCCCGAAGAATACGGTAATTCCACATTATAACGTCCGAGTAAAGAATCTTCATACTTAAACGCCAAATTTATACATCGATTAATAACACTCGTTCACGTTATCATTTCGTTTCTTGGCATAGGTTTTTTTTTAATTTGCTCTCGTCTCTGAAAACAAAATCAATTCCGGAGTTGATATGTTATTTGTGCTGTATTTTCATCTTAGAATAAGGAACTGATAAAATTGTCAGTGTTATATTTCTTCGCATCTTGAAACAGGCGTAGGTTAAGGTAAGTTGATAGTTGACAAGTCTATAAAGCTTACAAGATATTTTTTGTCATCCACACATTGGAAATATATGAATGAACGTCGAAAATAATATTGTGGTGGGCATTAATGAAACACGAAACGAGATAATGCTTAGATAAAAGCGACAACAGAAAAACTTTAGATGAACTACGTGTTTCAGAAGACATTTTGCTTGAACAAATGTCAGACAAAATGACATCTTAGATCTGTCAATATAACGAGGCAATTGATACCAATGGATGTATTAAACAAAAATTTATGGAACTGCAGTGCATAGCTTTAATACCTCTCTAAACCTTTATTAAGTTTAAATGTAATACACATTTAGAAATAGAGAGACACAACCAAATCCCATACCAGAAGTTCATAATTCAGTTAATAAATGATATAAAGTCATCTGTAATATAAAAGTTGATTTAAGGGTGACGGCCAATAGTACCAAGATAGAAACAGCTGTGCAGCTGTACATCAATATAGTTTATTTCTTCAATGGCTCAGTTTTGAACGATCATTTGCTAACGTCATGAGTTTTAGGATAGTCTCGTCGGCAATTGACTTTGAAAGACTATCCCTAGTTACAGCAGATGTTCTTCCGTCACACCATTGTATCCAACAGGCTATAATCCTCCGTGCTCAATTCCAATGAGACTGTACATTGTGAGAATTCAGCAACAGAGGAACAGCAAATCTCATTAATTGGCCATTTAGAACCTTGGCAATGGTGTTTTTCTTTATTCAATTAACCAGTAGCAATGCAAATTCTTCAGATGTATCGATTACATCGTAATATTCGGACGACATGCTTTATTACTTAATGTTTGCTCTTTCGCTCTGGAAAAAATCTTACATATGTATAACAGTGCCCTCCCCTCACCTGACACCACGGCCCTATCCCGTTCCAAATAACACATGCAGGGTTTCGACATGTATCTAGAAGATGGACTTGACAATGACGACATAACAGGCCTTCGTAATACCATATTGTGTATTTGGATAACAAACTTGTCAGATGGCCATTCGTCGTCGAGATAATATAAAATGATTCGAATGCGGAAAACATGGTTTGAAAGAAGAAAAATAATTAACATGTTTTCAATTAGTTGTATCAATAGACTAGCATCTCCACTTTTGGCCTTGTCGCTATCTAATATTTCAAGTTAACGTTGAAATGACTAATAGAAGGTTGCTTTAGAAAAAAAGGTTAAGACGTGTGTTTCAGTAAAATAGAATAATTAAAGTTACATTGGCAAAGTTCGAAATGCTGATTTTTTTTTATCAAATGAATGTTTATTTTTTTAGTGACGTAATGCTCGTTCACCCATTTCTTTTTCTCAAATTAACAACTTTTTGACGTGTATATGGTAACATCTGCGGAAGACAGAAAGGTTTAAATCAAAGCTGAAGGCATCAAATTCACCAGGAAAAAAAACAAAGCTTATACTCAAGTTATTAAACACACAAATAAGTATTCCTATTTCCCGTGTACCACTCAATCTTCTGGAATACGAAAATGCAAAATACATGTATAATGGTTATAGAAATGTCAAATGAATTGATACTGCTGATCACGACCATGGAATCATCATTAAGCGTTTTATTCTCATAAGAATTGTTACACATGACTATGCAATTTGAGTGTCAGCATGAAAATATGGATGTATAATATGTGTTGGTAATCATCCCCGTGACAACAATATGCTTATCAAGATGAATGTGATACATGATAAAATCTGTTTTTCTGTGTGGTATGAGTACCCTTATGCCTATCAGTGCCCTCGTACGGAAAAAAAGAAATTATCTTGTGTCAAAAAAAGGAAATGATGATAAGACAATTTGCGTTAATGGAGCTGAAGCGGCATTAGTCACATAGCAAAAGATACACTATTAAACATCAAAGAACAAAGCAATGTTTTTATCCAATTGTTTAGTCTTTTTTAATTCATTTATGAAACAAGAAGTTAGTTCTTACAATAACGTAATCTTAAAAGCTTTCCCCAAAGTATATAGATATCTTGAGAGATTAATAGCTTCATCAAAAAAAAAAAAAAAAATTAAATATTATTTCTCATTGCTCAACATTTTTCATTTGTTAAATGATATTTAAACCTATTCAACTATGTATCTTTGATGTCTAAAGTAGAGTTAAAATTATTGCCAGTTTTTCTAGACACAAAGGAGTTGTCCTCAATAAAAACAATAAAAAGTTACTTTGATAATTATTAATATTTTTCAAGCAAATACATTTTCATTCTCTGGAAATATCTTGAAATACTATTGATGACGAAACTTTATTTGTTATATATAATACAGCAATAATTAAAGTCAGTTTCCGTGAAAAGAATTGGACACACAGTTTTGCTAAGCAACATAGCGAGGAAGCCGACTATCGTTAGTAAAAGTAACTTTAAAACTTTAATATCTCAGGATCAGAATGGGTAAAATCAAAATACTGAATGTATGAAAAATTAGGATTTATTTTTTTCAAGCGGTGTTCACTGATCTAGTATTACTTCGATGACTGTCTCAACATATCCTCAAGATTTCAGCTCTGTGACATATGTGAAACTGGAGTACAAGCATAGAATGTTTTTTAAGATAGCGGTCATTTTTGCCTCTCAATAATTGACATCAAGAACAAAAATAGTAATATAAAGGTCTTCATATTGGATCAGATAGATTGTAGATGCAGAGACGTGACAAAACATGCCATAAAGACTGAAGAACGATATAGATAATACAACTTCACTCAGTTTTCCTCAGTGTTGTGCGTTGCCAATTTATCAGCTGCAACATATATATGGTTCAAAATGATAACACTCATTTTGCATTAATATGCAAGGTATTATCTTCAAATAATTAATACATTATCAACCAATCTATTATGCAGTAACCACATACAAATAGTCTTTTATTCGTATACAACAAATAAAATACAGTTCTTGTGTTTTACCTGTACATTTTAACCTCAAATCAAATAACAAACGTATTCTCATCAGTGTAACTTCTACGTGAATGCATTTGTTCTCTTTACCTATTATATTAGTTCCCTGCACTGTCGACAGATGCTCTATAAGTATAATTACAGACGAGAATATACGAAACAGCAGGACGACAGTTTAATGATACTGTAGAAAGATACACGCAGAATAATGTCAGTGTACCGGTAGGGTGAAAATGTTGGTCAATCTAAGTAATGTCACATTTTCAAATAGAAGATATTAAT